CTACCGGCTAAAACCCCACGGTGCCTCCTCGCACGTGCGCGCGGGGCCGCGGGAATCCAAATTCTTCCGCAGCCCCACACTAGTGCTGGCCCGGTCTGTCCGGGCCTCGTCTCCTGCACGGGGTAGCAAGGTGTTCAGCTACCCCCCTCCACAGCCTCCAACTCCACCTGCGTATCGGACCCCCCCGAGTCCGATACGCGGAGGCCATGGGGCCCGGAAAATCGAGCGCTTAATAGCGCCCGCTTTCCCGACCCCAGCGGCGGATCTGGTCTATGGCTCCGCCGCCAACCAAGTTTCGGCCGCGGAGGGTAGGGAGAGCGGCGCCTCGCAATACCGACACTCCTCTCCCACCGCGGCCCCACCACCACCGCATCAACGGTGCGGCCCCGTTTGAGTCGCGGAGGATAGGGCGAGTGGCGCATCGCCATACCAACACTCCTCTTCCTCCGCAACTCCACCTCGGCTGCAGCGGTAGAGGGAGCGGACACCCCTCTCGCCGCAGTCCACCAACACACATCCAAAGTGGGCTTCCCAAGCCCACTCGGAGCGGCCACCTCGGGCCGGCCCTACACCACGGGCCAGCCAAGGGGTTCCTCTTTGTTCACCGTGGGTGACCAAGTCACGGCTACTAAGCCCCCCCCCGCCACGACAAGGCGGGAACCCGTTCGGGGGGGAACCTAACCTAACCTAACCAGTTGCACTCCAAACGCCGTCCCGTACGCAGCATATTTGTATCGCTCCGCGTTCGAAAAATCAAAGTGTCGGATCAAAGTGTACGAAATCATAAGTGCTATATATCGTTAGATGCGTCTCATTGAGACAAACACAGTGGTGAAAGCAGGAGTTAAAAAAGTGTAAAAACAAAAAAGTTATTACAGAAAAACTGGTTTTTATAACCCCAAAAAACTTCTAAGTGAAACGTAGCTCGAAAACGATCGACGACATATAGTTTTTATTATGTTAAAAGAAGCGCCCTGACGAGCTTTAACGTCTTGGCTTACCGGATTTTTTCGACGTCTGCGCACCGAAATAATTTCGGAAATCCAAAATCCAAAAACCAAAAAGTGTCCACGTGTTTTTGGATTGGATGCTGTGCGACTAATTTTGACATCACCCATCGGAAGAGGACATCGAGGCAAAGCGTCCGATACCTCGATCACAAAAATTGGACAACAAACAACGGAGATATCACGCTTTGAAGATACCGTTTTTCAGCCGGGAGACTCAAAGGTGAATATCTTGAAATCTTCAGTGATGACCTATGTAGTTATAGACCTTATGTGAAAGTAGAATTTGAGACCTAACAATAGACATAAAAAACTTTAAAATCGGAGTGTAAATAGTAATATTAAGACATTTTTCAAAATTTTGGTATAAACACGTGGTGGCTGAAGGACCCTCGGGACAATCCTGAAAATAGTGTGAAAATTTTTGTTAGCATACATATTATATTCCAAAATTTTTTCAAAATTGTCCCGACAAAATTACACGATTTAGAGCCTTTTTGCGGTTGTTGGTTTTAGTAATCATAATTTCAAAATTTAAAAACCAATAAATTTTTCAGGACACCAAATTTCTAAATTATATATTATTAAAGAGCAATTAACGCTCTATATACACTATTTTTTTCAGAATTTTCGGACTAGCCATTTTTAAGATATAAATTTATTTGTATGAGCTGGGAGGTCCTGCAAACCGCACAAAAACTTGTTTTTCAGTTTTCAGGAGAACGGAGCCTCCTAGCTCAATTTTAACAATTTTTCGGGGCCCCACCCCCTAACCCCCTCACACTATCCACTAAAGGGATAGTCTTCGACCCCCAGCGGATCATTTTGACCAAGTTTCATCCCCCTACCCCAAAGTTGACATATTGACTTAGTCTCTGGGGGATGAAAAACTTTAAACACATATAACACAACAACCGGTGGGCCTAGTCGAACGGGGTTTTTTGTAAAAATATCTAGATAAGTAGACCTTTATAATCATATGAATATAGACTCTACATAAAGACACTAAAAAATTTTTAAAATTTTTTTTATTTTTAATTAAATTTATTTTTATATTAAATTTTATTTTAGTTTGTATATAATTTTACTTTATATTTTCTTTTAATGTAAATAATTAGAATTTAAGTGTGACCAGCTGTGGTGTAAAATAATTGTTACTTTTAAGTTAGAATATAGAGACAACTCTAAGTAGAGAACTGAAATTGGACAACCAAATTTATTTTAAATTAAAAGGCAGATATACTGACTCTACATAGAGTCTAATAGACTCATAGGAATAAATATAATATTCCTAAAAAAAATCATAAATAAATAGGTGAAATAGAGTGTGACAATTAAGTATAGGGTAAAAACGGTAAAAATATAGCGAAACTCTACATAGAGAAATATAGAGCCGCGTGAAAATTGGATCTTCAAAAACCGATACTAGGTACGAGCCCACCATAGCCGTATCAAGCTGTTTCAAAATAATTTTATAACTTTTACAAACCTTTTTAAATTTTAATTTTATTAACGTTAAAAAAATTTATATTTTTTATTTTTATTTTATTTTATATTATTTTACTGTGTGACCTAAGGACGCGTTCCCCTGAATATGTTCGGCTTCCGCACTCCTACCAAAAAGACCGAGGATAGTTCTAAGGACATGGGCCCCCAAGGCCCTCCAAATGAGACAGAGGAGAAAGACCTTTCTCCCAGAAATCCCAAATCAACGCAGACCTCCAATGTGAGGAGAAGCATTGGGGAGTGGGAGGCAGGTAAAGTAGACGCAGAAGTAGAAATTCAGCCTTCCCCCAAAAAGGTGGTCCCGGTGGTACGCCAAAAACTAAAGATAGCACCATCTCAAGAGTCAAAAGGGGCAACCCGTAGAGTTCCGGTAGAACCTAGGGAAAACTCGCCTAAAATGGATACGACAAAATATGTGGACCGAATATCGGAAGCTAGAGCCTGTCTTAACAAAGCGAAATTGCACCTCAGCAACTCGCGCAACTTGAGGACTGACATAAAGACCGAAGTCACGCAAGCAATAGATAGACTGTATCAACTGGTCAAAGAGGCAGAGACAGGCAAAGGCACGGAAAAAGAAAGAAAAACAAAAGAGCAGGAGAAAAAAGCAGACAAACTAGAAGAAGATTTTGAGAAGAGAAAATTAGAAGAACATAACAAACTAATCAAGAAGTTGGAGGAGCATGGGAAACTCCTGGAAGAAAATAAAAATGAGATGGAGAAACTAAGAGAAGAAATGAAGAAGAAAGAAATCTGTGAAGAGAAAGGGACATATGCGAGTGTATTGGCCGGACCACCAAAGAGATTACCACAACAAAATACGGCAATGCACTCTGTAGTCATCACATCAACTGATGAGAAAGACACAGGAGAGGAAGTCATGGACAGAGTAAGAATGGCAATAAACGCCAAAGAGGAAGGCCTAAAAATAGATAAAATTCGGAAAGCAAGGGACAGAAGAGTAATACTGGGATGTAGCACACAAGAAGAAATGAATAGGGTGAAAGAAAGAATAAAAAATACGAGTCAAAATTTAAATAAAAAAGAAAGAAAGAAAAAAAAACATTTATTCACGGTCTAATCACAATAGATACAAAACAAAGCAAAAAAATGGAATTAAACAGAAAGTAAAACAATATTTCCCTAAATTAACAAAAATGTAAAAATAATATAAAATGAGTCTGTGTAGCAGCATAAGACCGTGAAATGGACAGAACTCAGTAAAAATCGAGATACAGAAACATGAATTGCTCTGATCCCGACACTGGTTTTCAGTCCGGCCCGCACTCCGAGGTAACTCGGACGGCTGCCTCAGTGCAAATGCTATAATGCGACGCGGAATACATAAAAAAATATGTGTTTTTAAATTTTTATTCACATGAATAGTGGATATCATTAGTCTAATGAAGGTAAGTACACAATAGAATTAACGTTTTCCTTCTAAATATATCAATTTTATTTATTAAGGATGCGGAATAAACGTTGGCTTAAGAATAAAGGTAAGAAAATGATTGTCACAAAAAATAAATTTATTATACAAATATTTAAATAAAATAGTTTTATATATTATATAAAGTGAAAATTAAAATATCTACATAATTTATGGGACTGAGATTACTGACGTGTTGAAAGAACTTAACCTCCTACCAGTTTTTTTATAGATCGGTATTTTTTTGTTCCGAAAGTAAGTGTAACCTGTATTTGATTTTAAACCCACTAATTGTTTTCAGGTCACGCAGTGGAGGCGGGAGGTTATTCCAACATTTAGTGGCATTATATTTAAAACTACCTCTGAAAGCGGCCGACCGGTAGAAATGATATACTAACTTGTAATTGGATGATCTGGTATTATACTGCTTATTTTGATCTTTAGACCAAATCAATTTATTATATAAATATAAAGGTTCTTTATTTTTAATAATTCCAAACAAAAGTGATGCAAAGTGTAGACGCCTGCGACAGTCCATTTTTAAAATATTAGCGTTATTAATGAAAGGGGTTACATGTGCACGTGGTGGTACATTGAAACAAAATCGTGCACAGGCATTCTGTACCCGCTGTATTATTTGCCGTGTTCGAGATAATAGTCGTGGGCCTATGAGAGAATCCGCGTAATTGAATTTTGAAAGCACGATAGACTCGCAGAGATGTATACGTAAGGTGACACTTAGGTACTCACGAATACGATAAAGTACTTTCAACCTATAAAAGCAGTTACGTGCAATATCCATTACATGTTTCTCAAAACGAAGTTTGTCGTCCATTATTACCCCCAAATTTCTGACTTCAGAGACTCTCACAATAGGTTCGTTGTTTACAATAATGGCAGGGTGGCTTAGTGTGATCTTTTTTATTTGATTTGGCGATCCTAGAATAAGGTACTGCGACTTTTTTGGATTGAGAACCAATGCGTTACGCTCTGACCACAAAGATATCCGACCCAAATCCAAGTTCAATTTTGTCACTGCTACTTGAACATCACAAGGCTTAAACAGATATATATATCTGTAAGTCGTCAGCGTACATGTGGTACTTACAATACTCTATATTTTTAATAATGTCTGCACTATATATTATAAAAAGTAAGGGACCTAAAATGGATCCTTGCGGTACTCCTCGGTTCACAGGTCGCTCCCCAGAAATAGTTTTACCTTTTCCATTTAATTGTATTTCAACTTGCTGTGACCTATTTTTAAAGTAACTGGCAAACCATTGGGTTGCGTTTCTGCTTAAACCATAAAAATATAATTTTGAAAGAAGTAATGGGATATTGAGGGTTTCAAAGGCGCGCGAGAAATCAAGTAATGTTAAAATAGTACCCTCACCACTGGCTTGTGCAGTCAGTATATCATCCACGACCTCTATAAGCGCTGTGGTAGTGCTGTGCTTCTTTCTAAAGCCAGACTGCAGCTCAGGAAGGATGTTATTTGCTTCAAGGTACTTTGTTAGCTGATTACATGCAAGCTTTTCTATTATTTTAGAAAGGCATGGTAGAATACTAATTGGCCTGAGATCCGACATAGAAACAGGGTTACTAGTTTTTGGTATAGGTTTAACGATGGCTTTTTTCCAGACATCCGGATAGGTATTTGTCGCAAAAGATTTATTAATTATGTATGTTATTTCTGTAATAACATCTTTAGGTAATAACTTTAACATATCAAGAGAAATGCCATCGCACCCCACTGCATTAGACTGCAAAGAGTTTATAACTTTAACAACCTCATCCTCCGAGGCTTCTTTGAAATAAAAAGAGTTACCATTAGTGCCATTAAATTCAAAGAAAGTGAGAAGAGACAATGAGACTTCATTTTTACCAGGAATATTAAGAAAATGATTGTTTAAAGCATCAGGGTCACTGAAATGGGATGGCAAAGAAGTATCCTTACTTTTTATTTGAACTTGGTGTTTAATGTGCTTCCACATTATTTTAGGTTGATTTAGTTTTGAATTAATATAAAATTTGAAGTAGGCAATCTTTTCTGAAACTATCGCTTTATTAACTATTGATTTTAGTTCCCTATAATAATCCTTATGTGGAGCAAGTTTTGTTTTCCGGGCTCTCACTTGAGCCTCGTTGCTTGTCCTCATCATACATCTTATGTTATGCGTTATCCATGGATAATACTTTTTTTTTATATAGACAGTTTTAGGAGGGGCGTGAAAATTAAAGATATTTAATAATTTTTTGTTAAAAGAATCAATCATATCGTTTATGTTATGTGACAATGCACAGTGCCAGTTAATTTGTTTTAAATCTTGGTTGAAAAGGTTTATGTCTATATCCCTTAAAGATCTATACGTGACGCTTTCAGGCTGAAACTTAGGCTTGGGAATGTCAAGTTCACATACAATAAAGGCATGGCTACTGAGGTCACTAATATAGTCCACACTTATATATGACACCGATGCATCTGAACATATAACATCTAACAGTGTCTCACTATATTCAGTAAAGTGTGTTGGTTCCTCAACATATTGCACGAGGTTATTGCATGTTAGGAAGTCCGAAAGCATTTTGGTACTAACACAATTTTTATTCAAAATGTCGATATTAAAATCCCCAAGCAGCACTGTTTGATCGTAGCCTACAAAAGAACCTAAGGACTCGCTCAGCGCGTCCAGAAATAATGTCACGCTCAACCATGGGGGACGATAAGCAGTACCGAAGACAAGGGACTTGCCGTTAATTTTAATATTTAACCACATCTGCTCCACCGCGGGACAAATAGGATGTTGAATAATTTTTGACGGCAAGCCCCGTCTCAAATAAAAACCGACACCGCCGCCACGCGCACGAACTTCGGGAGGTCGGGGTACGTGAAGCAGTCGATACCCTGGAACAGAAGGCGCCCGGCCTTCCTCCCCTGTCCGAAGCCATGTTTCATTGATAGCCATTATGTCTACAGAGTGATGCGCCATAGCAGCTAGGAATTCGTCGTGCCTAGTACCAAGAGACCCGGGGTTCAAGAAGCCAATTTTCAACTTATTTAATTTAGTCATTTTCAAAGAATTTATAATAATACGAAAACGTTATAAAATTAATATTAACCCAAACAAAACCATAATAGAGGAGACTATGATACCACTGCTTATGTACTGTCAAATACATTTCTATATATGGGCCACAGTTATAAGTTATAAATAAACATAATTGATTGGCGAATATATTATCCGACAATATCCTGTCGTCATTTCCCGTTATGCTGCTACACGTTAGAAAGCAAACATTAAACCTGTCACCATATTCACTATAACAAGAGACAAAAAATAAATGTGATAATATTAAAAGTGTAACTACAAAATAACAGTCAAAAAATTTACTCCATACTCCATAAACGTATGCAAAGCAACTTAACAAAAATAAAATGTAACCTAATAATAAAATGTAAATAAAATGTAGTCTAAATAAAAATAAAATGTTCTCGTAATAGCAGCTACGTAGATGCGTAGGGGAAACAATCATTGAGAAATAATTATAATCCAGACGACAGCCAAATTGATATCGTGCAAGAAGTAACATAAAGAACAAGATTAAAATTCGTTTCAAACTATTCAATCCCCAAAAATTTTGTTTATATCTATTTCTGTTCGAATTCTATAACGGGGTGAGCCAGAATCACGACGCGAAAAAATGCATCCTTCCCGCGTCCACATATATCTCCAGCCTTTGCGGCGCCCTTCTTCCCGTACTTTATAAAATAAGACCCATTGGTTATACTAAAGGATGTATTACAATATAATTCGGACGAAGAAGTAATCAAGGCAGTAAGAACACAAAATAAACAGCTCTTTCAAAACATTAACGTGAAGGACAATAGGATGGAAATAAAGTACAGGAAAAAGTCTAGAAACCCACACACCGCCCACATTGTAATCAGAGTCTCGCCCCAGATATGGAACTACCTCACAAATGTAGGGTGGATCCATGTGGATCTCCAGCGAATAAGGGTTGAAGACCAGTCCCCTCTTGTGCAATGTTCGCGGTGTCTGGCCTATGGTCACAGCAAGCGCCTGTGCAGTGACGCGACAGAGGTCTGTAGCCACTGCGGAGGCCCACACCTGAAATCGCAATGTGCTGACTGGCTTTCAGGAGAAATGCCGTCATGCAGAAATTGCCTCAAGGCGAAAATAGAAAAGAAAGAGCACAATGCCTTCAGTGCGGACTGCCCCGTTAGAAGAAGATGGGAGATTCTAGCGAGGTCTACTGTCGCGTACTGTTAAGATTGTCTCCAGGCCAAACAACAACATAACCCCAAGCGACCACCGTTATCACGTGATCCAGGCTAATCTACAAAGGAGTGAGCTGGCCACGGCCGAACTAATCATAGAGGCAACTAAAATCAAGGCATCGTTTGCATTGGTCCAGGAACCCTATATCGGACGAATCGGGGAAATGAAGCGCCATCCAGGGACAAGAATGGTACAATGTAGCCGCAGCCTAAACACCGAAAAAGTGATAAAGGCGGCCATTGTGCTATTTGACGACACCATTGCCATAACCCAGTGCCCGGACCTCACAACTGAGAACATCGCAGTTGCCAAACTAAGGACAGGGGCCTGGGAGTTGGGGGTGGTGTCTGTCTACCTGGAGGGCGACAAATTATTAGAACCATACCTGGACAGGATTGGGACGGCCGTGGCAGGCCTAAAAACCAGGAACGTGATAATCGGTGGTGACTTCAACGCTTGGAATACGTGGTGAGGAAGCCGGGACGTTGACAAGAGGGGCATTGAGGTAGCTGCCAAGTTTGACGAAATGGAGTTCCACATTTTAAACAGAGGAACTGAGCCCACATTTGATACTATCAGGGGTGGTAAGAGATTCTCCAGCTGTGTGGACATAACAACTTGCTCGACGAACCTGCTTGGACGAGTGGACAACTGGAGAATATCGGATGAAGTAACTAGTTCGGACCACAGGGCAATCTTGTTTGATATAAATTTAGAAAAATCCACAACCACAGATATAAATAGAACAACTCGAATATTCAATACCAGGAAAGCAAATTGGAGTGAGTTTCATAAGAAACTCACCCATATTTGGCAAGTAAACCAAATAAATAATATAGAAATCAATAAAATAGAAAATAAAGAACAGATAGAAGCAAAAATAATAGAAATTACACAAACAATAATAGAAGTCAGTGAAAATAGCATACCCAAAATAAAAAATAAAAAACAAACGAGATTGCCTTGGTGGACCGACGAGTTGACTGAAAGGAAAAAAGAGGTCTCCAAGTTGAAGCGCCGGATTTCCTATGCAGCGCCTGTTCGTCGCGAGTGGGTCGTCGAGCAATATATGAGAGCCAAAGAGGAATATAAACAATTAGTTAAAAATACACAGACCGCCAGCTGGAAGAGTTTCTGCAGTAAACAGGAGAAGGAAACAATGTGGGACGGTATATACAGGGTGATAGGCCGAACAACCCAAAGACAAGAGGACGTCCCCCTAGTGAGGGATGGGAAGACCTTGGGGAACGTGGATTCAGCAAGATTTCTAGCGGAGACTTTCTTTCCAGAGGATAAAGACCAGGATGACGACGCGGAACACAGGGCAATAAGAAAAACAGCAGAAGTAGTGAATGAAGGGTCACTTGATGAATCAAGTGACCCACCCTTTACGGAGGAAGAGCTACTGTGGGCCGCGTCTAGCTTTAATCCTAAGAAAGCTCCTGGAAATGACGGTCTCACAGCTGATATCTGCGCGGCGGCCATAAAACTGAACCCGAAACTATTCTATGCAGTTGCAAACAAATGTCTGGAACTGGCACATTTCCCCGGTAAATGGAAGGAGGCGGCGGTAGTGGTACTACGAAAACCTGGTAAGGAGGACTACACGCACCCTAAATCTTACAGGCCGATTGGGCTTTTGCCTGTATTAGGGAAAATATTCGAAAAGATGACCATTAGACGAATCAAGTGGCACATCGTACCAAAGATTAGCAAAAACCAATACGGCTTCATGCCGCAGCGTAGCACAGAGGACTCCCTCTATGAAATGATGCAGCATATAAAGGCAAAGCTTAAAAGTAAAAAATTGGTTTTACTTATATCACTTTACATAGAGGGAGCCTTTGACAACGCTTGGTGGCCAGCTGTACGATGTGCACTTGCAAAGACCGGATGCCCGATAAACTTGAGGCGGCTGATTGACAGCTATCTTGAGGATAGGTCAGTCTGCATCAAGTATTCTGGGGCAGAATGGGTCAAGAAGACCTCAAAAGGGTGCGTGCAGGGCTCAATAGGTGGTCCAATTTTCTGGAACCTATTGCTAGATCCACTACTGCAAGAGTTGAACGATAAAGGGGAACACTGTCAGGCCTTCGCAGATGATGTGGTCCTGATCTTCTCTGGAGACAAAGCACTGGAAGTGCAGGAACGGGCCAATGCGGCCCTCGAACATGTTCGGAGGTGGGGAGTCAAAAACAAGCTTAAATTTGCTCCACAGAAAACGAAAGCCATGATCATCACCAACAAGATCAAATATGACTCACCACTTCTGAAGATGGGCGGGGAAAGCATAGGTCTGTCTAAAGAAATAAAAATACTCGGCCTCACAGTTGACGATGGGCTGACCTTCAACGCGCATGTCAAAAATGTGTGTTGTAAGGTACAGAACCTATATCGTCAGCTGTGTAGGGCCGCAAAGATTCATTGGGGTTTGAACTCCGAGATAGTCAGGACCATATACATAGCGGTAGTAGAGCCTATTATTTTGTATGCAGCTAGCGCATGGGCACCAGCAGCGAACAAACTAATGACTAAAAAACAGCTTGATATAGTGCAACGTGGGTTCGTACAAAAAATAGTCAAATCGTATAAAACCGTTTCTCTACACTCGGCTCTGCTGCTGGCCGGGCTGCTTCCTTTGGACTTGAGGGTCCGGGAAGCAGCCTCGCTTTATGAGGTAAAGAAAGGCTTTTCCCGGCGAGTAGTAGAGGATCGGGACATGGAGAAAAAGGTGGAATACGCAATGATGCCACACCCAGCAGACGAATATGGCCTGCAATATATATGTCTGGAGGACGGTGCACAAATGGACCAACATGACAATCAAGGCCTTAAAATATACACTGACGGCAGCAAAATTGAGGGCAAAGTCGGCGCTGCATTATCTATTTGGAATGATGCAGCGGAGACAAGTACCCGAAAACTAAAGTTGGGAAACTTCTGCACCGTCTTCCAGGCGGAGTTTATTTATTTATTTATTTATTTATTTATTGGGTCTACCAGCGATTTTACAATACATACGTTACATACATTTCTTAAAGTATAATTACTATATTACATGCACAGAGTATGTAAAATCATTTAAAGGTAAACACTACATGCTATTTTTGCTAGTGTTAGTGAATAAATTTAAAAGTAAGTTAATAACAGAAAAAAAAAACAAAACCAGAAACAAACAAAAAAAAAACACAATAGTAATTTTGGTAAAAGCCTGTAAAACCTTATCAATTTAAACAACAAAAGAGATTTAATCAAACTAATAATTAGTCTTTCAATCAAAATTACAACTTAATTTAACAACTATCATAATCTAACCCAACTAAATATATATTATTAAAAGAAGTTGTTTGCTTGCGGAGTTGCTTGCTATACGAGAAGCATCCACGTATGCGCTAACACACCCTGCGCTTAACTGTCACATATATAGCGACTCCAAGAACAACTCTTGAACATATGTAAGAAATCTTATAAACGAT